GCCGTAATAAGCGTATTTCAAATAAATTGTTGTGTTGTTTTTTAGTGTTAGCCTAAGGCGTTGTGGGTCAATAGTTCTTATTAAAATCATATCCCAATCTGATCCGATTTAAATATAATTTAAAAAAAATTACTTTTACACCAAACTCCGCCACACCTTTCATATTTAATTGAAATTGGTGCGTCAAATATGTGAAATCGGCCGAGAATATATATATGGGAGCTATATCCAAATCTTAACTAATTTCCAATTAATTTATCACATTTATTATTATAACATAATTCCGCCACACATTCTGAATTTCATTGGAATCGGTCATATATATCGTGTTTGGTGCATAATATGTATGAAATCGGCCGAAATATATATGTTAGCTATATCCAAACCTCAACTGATTTCAATATAATTGTGCAATTTTTGCTGGTGCCAGATTTTGTCTCTCTCGCTTTGGGTGCATCAAATATGTGAAATCGGCTGAGTATATATATGGAGCTATAATCACATCTGAGCGTATTTGAATATAATTTGTCAAATGTGCATCAAATATGTGAAATCGGCGGATAATATATATGGGAGCTATATCCAAATCTGAACCGATTTTAATATAATTTGACTAATTTATTTTCTAATCAAAATCCCGTTACATATTCCAAAATTCTTGGAAATCGAACATACATATCGTGTATGGTGCATAAAATACATGAAATCGGTCGAAAATATATATGAGAGCTATATCCAAATCTGAACCGATTTTAATATAATTTGACAAATGTATATTTGTTTTAATTTCCGCTACACATTTCAAATTTCATTGAAATTAGAGATACATAGCGTGTTTGGTGCATCAAATACATGAAATCGGTCGAAAATATATATGGGAGCTATATCCAAATCTGAACCGATTTCAATATAATTTGAAAAATTAATTTTTGCTCCCGATTCCGTTACTTATTTTAAATTTCATTAAATTTGGACATACATATCTTGTTTGGTCCACCAAATACATGAAATCGGCCGAAAATGTATATGGGAGCTATATCCAAATCTGAACCGATTTCAATATAATTTGGGAAATAAATTTTTTTAGATAAAATCTATCACACGTTTCAAATTTCATTGAAATTGGGGATACATAGCGTGTTTGGTGCATCAAATGCTTGAAATCGGCCGAAAATATATATGGGAGCTATATCCAAATCTGAACCGATTTCAATATAATTTGACAAATTTATTTTCGGATCAAATCCCGTCACATATTCCAAATTTCATTGGAATCGAACATTCATATTGTGTTTGAGGCATCAAATGAACGAAATCGGTGGAAAATATATATGGGAGCTATATCCAAATCTGAACCGATTACAATATAATTTAGCAAACTTATTTTTGTTCCAAATTCCGTTACACATTCCAAATTTGGAGACTGTATCTTTAACCGATCAATAGATATGTGCATATAAAATCTAAATTTTTGGGAGGTACCTCCGATTCTGATGCTATATCTCCAGTTCCAAGTGGAAATTCAAAAATGTATATAGCCTATGTTACTTTCAGGCGATGTTGCAGTATATATGGAAATTTTCAGAAAAATCTATTCAGCAGTTTTCGAGTCCATAAATTACAAACAAACAAACAAACAAACAAACAAACAAACAAACAAACGTACAAACATTTTCCTCTTTTATAGATATAGATGTGTGTCCCGCCAATGTTTCAAATTTTGAATTTGTACTTTTTAATGGGTACTGCATTCAATGATAAAGAAAATTGCTCATACAAGTCCACGTCTTCGTATAGCCCTATATAACGGTACATCCACATAATCTTTATTTTGATGATAATAGCGATATTATCAATCGGAATTGTTTTAAATTTCGTATTGTAAGTTCGTAATGTTTGATACAGTCTGTGACCGAAAATCTGCAGACCAACCTTTTCGTATAGCTCCCATATAACGGTACCTCCCTACATTCGTTATTTTGATTATTTTAGCGATGTTATTCATTGGGATTGTATCAAAGTACCCCTCATGGGCACTCCGTCTGTGTTACCAAAAATTTCCTATGCAGGCCTAGATCTTCGTATAGCCCCCATATAACTGGACCTCCCATATTCGATATTTTAAAAAAGTATTTGGAAGAAGTTGACCGACGTGACAGGTTAAACTTAATTATGGACTAATTCACTTTATTTTCATCCCTTAGCCATACGGCTACAGAGAGAATACATGATTTTGTACGGGGAAAACGTTCCTTATAGAAATCCGTTTCAGGACATTTGGAGTCGATCTAGGGACGTCCGTCCGTCGGTCTGCGTGCGAAGGGAATATCCGGCTTTGCCCAAACTGGGTATAGCATAATAGTATTATCAAACTAACATCGAATTTTGAGATGGGTAATATTGACCCACTCCTTCTGGTAACTCAACCATAAAAGATCAACATTTTCAAAGAAACCAATTTACTTCATAAACAAGTAAAAAAGCGGTAAGTTCGGCCGGGCCGAACTTTGAATACTCTCCACTATTTAGAAAGAATTTGGGAATTTTCAAAAATAAAATCCTTAAAAAATTTAGTTAAAATATCGGTGAACAATGTCTCTAAAATCATTAAAATACCGAATATCGGAAGGTACTGTTATATAGGGGCTATACGAAGACGTGGACCTGCACAGACAATTTCCTGTCATAGGCTGTAGTATCCACTGCGAACATCAAATACCAAATTTTGAAAAAATTCCAGTGAATAATATCGTTAAAATCAACAAAGTACCGAATAACGGGAAGTACAGATATATGGGGGCTACATGGCCCATTTTCAATACCAACAGTCCTACAGACATAATACACATTTGAGTAAATTTTTATCAACTTACTTCGTTTCCCTCGGAAACACAGACGTGCGGACATTGTTAAATCGACATAGAATTTTATGAAAGGCTATAGCCGTGCGGTGCCGACCATTTGATATCCTACAACACTAGAATATGTTAGAAGCCCCCTTATGTCCAAATCCGTTTTGGAAGATTTCTCTTCTGAAATTATGTCACGGAGCACTGCCCAGATTTTACTTTAGCATTTTAGACAGGGACATTTGCCCAATATTTACGCATACACATTCCATATGTTATTGAAATTGGAGATACATAACGTTTTTGGTGCATCAAATAACCGAAATCGGTCGAAAATATATATGACAGCTATATCGAAATCAGAACCGATTTCAATATAATTAAGCAAACAAATTTGTTAGAAAATTCCATCACACATTCCAAATTTCATTGAAATTAGAGATACATAGCGTGTTTGGTGCATCAAATAAAAGAAATCGGTCGAAAAAATATGTGGGAGCTATATCCAAATCTGAAACGATTTCAATATAATTTGGCAAATGTATGTTCGTTTTAAATTCCGTCCGATGAGCCGATTTCAATATAATTTGGCAAATGTATGTTCGTTTAAATTCCGTCACTCATTTCGAATTACATTGGAATCGGTCATACGTATCGTGTTTGGTGCATCAAATAAACGAAATCGGCCGAAAATATATATGGGAGCTATATCTAAATCTGAACCCATTTCAAATATTTTCCTATTTTTATACCCACCAGCTGGAAAAGGAGGGTATATTATCTTTGTCATTCAGTTTGTAACATCCCTGAATATTCGTCGTAGACCTTATAAAGTATATTCGTAATCAGCATAAAATTCTAAGTCGATTTAACGATGTCCGTCTGTTTGTCTGTTGAAATCTCGATGCAGCCCTTGTTATTTGACGTAGAGCTTCAAAATTAGGCAAAACAATTTGTATAATGTCCAGGATGGATGGTATTGAAAATAAAAATGAAATATAACGAAAGATATATCAGTTCATCCCGATATTTGGTATTTTGGTGATTCTTGCCACATTTTTTCACGGATTTTTTTTTAAAGTTGGTATTTGTAGTTCGCAATGGGTTCTAGCTCCTGTGGTGGAACATAGTTTACATAGGCCCACGTTTTGGTATAGCCCCATATAATGGCTGCTCCCAATATTCGGTATTTTGGTGATTCACCGATTTGGTTAAAAATTGATATATGTAGATCATAGTGGGTTATAGTTGTATGTATAGGTCAACGTTTTGTATAGCTCCCATATAACGGAAACTCCCGATATTCGGTATTTTGATAATTTTTGCCACAATTTTTCACGGATTTGACCAAAAATAGGTATATGTAGTTCGCTATGGGTTCTAGCCCCAGTGGCGGAACATATAATATATAGGTAAACCTTTTTCTATAGCCCTCACATAATGGTATCTCCAGATGTTCAGTATTTTGATGAAATTTGCCATATTCTCCCACAGATTTGTCTAAAAATTGGTATTTATAGCTTATAATAATGGGTTCTAGCACCGGTGGCAGAACATTGAATATTTAAGTGCACTTTTTCCTATAGCGTCCATATAACGATACCCACCGATATTCGATATTTTGATAATCCTAGTCACATTTACCCACGAAATTGTTACAAATTTGGTATTTAATAAGATATGGTAGTTGAAAATCCTTGAAAAAAAAAAATTAAATTAAAATTGTCTATAGAGGTTCCCGTTTTAGTATGGCCCCCATATAACGGCCTCATCCACTTTATGGTTTTTTGAAAAGTCTAACAGCATTATCCAAACGGTCTTACTGGTATTTGAAATTTAAAGTGGAACACGTTTGAATTCAGATATTTTTATATAAAATGTTGTCTTTACCCAAAGGTGGAGGTTATCAAAAGTTAAGCCCGGCCGAATGTTTTTTTACTTTTTTAGGTATAGATAATTGCTGACAGCTATTCAATATAATTTTCTCAGCAAACCTGAGGGTTTCGACGGCAGTTTTCGAGGTTCTACTGGACTAAATTCTAATTCCGATTTTCTTTCTCATTCTTTTTTTTTTTAAGGTATATAGATTGACTACAATATCATGGATTTCCGACTTACTTTCCCAATAATCCAAATAAAACATATGTGTTATTTTTGCGGTGCACTCTATAGTCTAAGTGCGTTCTAAGGTGCGATTTAATAGAGACAAGAAATAAAATGTTAATATGTATTTAAAAATTTAACCATAAACCCTCTTGAGCAATGTAAAATAGGAATATGTGGCATTTAGAAGCGACTGCAACATTTCCAAATTCATGGGATAGACCTTGCCAACTAATATCTGAAAAAAGAATGGTTATAATTTTCTTTAGTAAATAATAAAGGTACGAATAATAATAATACTAAAATATTCTTACGGCACACGGCTTCTGGGCCCTCAATATAAACAATTTAATGGTCTTCTGAGTGGAGACATCAAAATCGAACCAATTACTTTCATAGGCTGCAATGGCCACCTTCAAGCTTTGATCATACAATTCATTTGCAAAGTAATACATGATCACACTCTGGGCAAAAATCATAAATATATAGATGCAGATAATGCACATTTGAGCAACCGTTTCCACCTATTATTAATTTAAAGATTTGAAAATTATTAGAAATTAATTTTCTTAAATAAAACTCACAATTATCAACAAAAAGAGCATGGCACACAACATCGCTCCAAAGGCCATAAATTCAAACAAAAATGTAAAGGTTGTCAAATCATTGATGGTATCCACAAAACTAGGAAGGAGGAATATTAGTAATCGCTTACAACATATTCCACTTCACCTTACTTGATCAACTGCAACTGATATTTAATACACCACACAATAACCGTTCGCGCCTTTTCACTACTGACATCCTTCAGATTTCTCAACTTGTGTTGCAAAACTTTACACATCAAAATGCCAAAGAGTATGAAGGACACAATCAGATTTGTAAATGGTATATACATGCAACATCCTGCCGGTGTGATAATTATTTGAAAGAGAAAACATATCTGATAGTAGGGTGATTCATATTTGTCCACGCCCGGAACATACATGCCAAATGGCAAAACTGGAAAAGGAAAAGGCGAAATCTACATGAATACTTAAATTTCAGAAAAGCTATTGAACTTATTCTTTAAGACTGGAAGACAAATACTTCGTTGCTTTATGAACGGGTTTCATTGATTATTATATCCTCCACCATTTTATGGTGTGTCATTCCATTTGTAACTTCTCGAAATATTCATAATATACCCTCCTGGATCAGTGTGAAATTCTAAGACGACTTAACGATTTCCGTCTGTCTGTCTGTCCGACTGTCTTTTTGTTGTAATCACACTATCGTTCGACCGAATTGATATGGGAGGTTAAAATTTTGCTCACATGTATATTTTGTCAGAATGCAAGTTCAGCACAAGATTTCCGCTTTCGGGTTTATACTTATGTTCTTCCAGTCATACTATTAAAACCTGGCGATTTCTAGTTGTGAGTTGGAAGATTCTTTCCCAACCTATTTGCCAACCTCTGATATTCTTCATACGCCATTGTCGTATGTTTACTCTATCATCAGAAAATTCGAACTGATGCTTCCATGGATGTTCATAATTTAATTTCCAGATTCCTTTACCATTATAGCCCTTCGACTTTCTACCTATCGTCTGATATTTACTGTACGAAACCACTATTTCAAGAATTGGAGAGCAATTCCGCGATAGCCGGTTCTATGCACCATGTTGATGGGAGTAAAAACTCTCCGATCAGGAGCCGTCAACCCGGCTACTACAAATTCAATTCGGCTTTTAACCGAATACAGGAGTGCAGCAATAGGGTCTAAATTGCTTCCTATTGTGCCAATGTAGACCCCAAAAAACATCAAATTACCATAGACCGTTTCCTCATTATCGTCGCCATCAGCAGACTACCCGACTTCATAGACTCTAGGTGCTGCACTTCTCTTAACCATGAGAAACGCAAGAGTCCAAAAAATACACCAATTGCCGCTTCAGACAACTGCCAACACCATATGGTGTCCAGGTAGCAGAAATTTTTTCCTGGAACATTATTAAAGCTGCAGCCGTTCGTTATACACCTTAGGTCGAACACCGGAGATAAGGTCACATTTCCCAGCTGATCCCAGAGTTAGGAAACTATCTTTTGACGTAAAAAGTTTAGGACATTTAAAGAGCTCTAACATCAGTACCGGGTCCAGTAAACTATGGGCTATTGCTAAATCACTCTCGAACCCAGGAAAAAATAATGGTCGAACGTCTGTCTCATTTAACAGCGCAGGAGTGAAAAATCCGAAAAGCTGCGTGAGTTATTTTAAACGACAGTTCACAGACTACTCGATTGTGGCAAGACTAATAGGAGACACCTCCACAATTTGGATGGAAGATTTTGAACATGTGTTTTGAACAAGTAGGAACAAGGTTCTCAAGTCTTTGGCCGGCAGCACTTGGGGAACTAATAAGGAAACCTTGTTGACCTCCTACAACGCGATAGGACGGTCTGTGGTAAACTATGCGGCTCCGGTATGGTCCGCCAAAGTTAGTGCTACGCAGTGGAAAAATATTCAGTCCTGCCAGAATGCTGCCCTCAGAACCGCAACAGGGTGCCTCCTCATGACACCTGTCGACCTCCTACGTGAGGAGGCGAAGGTCTTACCGGTGCAACAACATAATAAAATTTGACAGCATTTGGGTGCTACAAACAGAGCCATCTGAATTCCCATTTGGTGGATAGGCAACCTCCGCTCAGGCACGTGAGAAAAGACCTTCATTATCTAGAGAGAGAGAGGTACAGAGGTATGAGAGAGAGCCTCTAGATCAACAGGCCTATCAAGCGGAACTGAATAATATTCACTCTATCGCGGTCTCAGAAGTCATGGAAGGATATAGAGTGAATACTATACTAGGAGACCATCCCATTGCAGCTGAAGAGCGAGAGCTGCCCCCGACAAAGCCGAGTAGTTTAGGCGCAGTTTAGATCCGGATGGTGTAGCCGCCTCAATTGCTATTGGGCCCGGATTGATAGCGATGTGCAGAACATCTGCCCAACTTGTGGCACAGGTCCACATGACACGCTGCATCTATTTCGCTGCCCAGCCAATCCTACTCACCTAACACCAGTTTCGTTGTGGACCTAGCACATTAAGGTTGCATCCTTTTTGAGACTTGACTTAGAAGCAGAACCTTTCGACTTAGAAGTCGAACACAGCAGTATGAGCTGCTACAACAACAACAATCATATGGACAGAGGAAATGAGGCTATCGCTAAATGTGCAGGACTATCAGCAGGACTGAAGTTATAGAGGAATACAGAGTGAAAACCATACACAGAAATCTCCGCCGCCTATTGCAGCTTAAGAACCACAGCTGCCCTAATAAACCAGAGTAGTTTTGGCACAACTGAAATCACTGTTGTACTCCGTTATTGTCTTTACTCCTTGACAAGTCATCCCAGTTTGCCCTAAGATAAGCATGTGATTCCGCAATGTGCCCAGCATCGTACAAAGCCCACACTGACTCTGCACAGAACTTGCCGTTAATTTATGTTCAAAAACTATCCGGGAAAAGAGGGAATATTTGAAATTGATAAAAATACTAACCTTTCGATGTTGCAAATAGTGGATACATATTAAAACCCACACATGATGTAAAACCCATCAAGAGATTAACCTTCGAAATAAATCTTGAGGCTACGGTGCATTCCTGTAGCATTTTCCTCAATGCTGGATCCTCAGAGTTCTACAAAAGAGAAAACAATACATAAATTTCCATATTATTCAACATTTCCCTCCTCCGCCCCTTCCTTACCATCAATTCAATATACAATAGACGTATCTTTTCCATAAAACCTTCATATTCGAAACGATTAACACACAATAGGACAGCTCTCAAAATTGTATTAAAAAATAGTACAGCAATGTAAGCATTGCGTACAATCGCATCAATTGGTTCCGTACTAAAGTAGACATCTAAAAATTGGGTGGTATTAATGAAAAGATAGGGAATCAAGGCGAAATAGCGACGCCAATTGTGCTCCAATAAAAATGACCAAAATTTCATGATACTCAAATTGGTGCTGAGCAGCGGGACATCTTCAATGGAGCGAATTTGCATTTTGAGTTCTTTTATTTCAAAATAAGCACAGTAGAGAAAAAATCTTTCTTTCACTTATATTTTTTGAACAATCTTAAAGGAAATTCCGAACTAGACTGCGATGACATACCTTGCTGGAGGAATTTTGTGAAATTCCTCGAAAGCGTCCTGCAGTAGTCTCCAGATGACTTGTAGTTTTTGTTAATATGCATATAGTTTGAAACTTTCCAAATTGCAGTAAATAGAAGAAAAGTTTCAAGTAGCATTGAGTCAAAACATATAATTATATGCTTGGAATTTTCCATTTTATGATAGAAAGAAGCTAAAACTATTGTTGATGCATTATGGCATGTATCACAAAGCACCTGATAGTGAATGATCCGCAAGTTTAGATTTTTATACCCTCCACCATAATATGGAAGGTATGGAGTTTGTCATTCAGTTTGTAACACCTCGAAATATACATTTTAGACCCCAGAAAGTATATATATTATTGATCAGCACAAAATTCGATGTCGATGTTTAGCGATATCCGTCCGTCTGTGGAAATCACTCTAGTTTCTGAACGAATTGAAATAGATTGATAAAATTTTACTCAAATGTATATTATATCTGCAGGACTTTTGGTATTGAAAATAGGCCGTGTAGATCCACGTTTTGATATAGCCCCCATATAACTGTACCTCCCGATATTCGGTTCTTTGTTGATTTTAGCGACATTATTCACCGGAATTGTTTCAAATTTAGTATTTGAAGTTTGAAATGAATACTACAACCTATGACAGAAAATTGTCTACGCAGGTTCACGCCTTCGTATAGCTCCCATATAAGGGTACCTCCCGATATTCGGTATTTTGATGATTTTAGCTACATTATTCACCGATTTTTTTTTAATTTTCGCATTTGAATATTTTAATGGCTTATGACATTAGTTACCTATGCAGGTCCATGTCGTTGTATAGACCCTAATGTAACAGCTACATTCGGTATTTTAAAGATTTTAACAGAATTTTTAACGGATTTTATTGTTTTTGAGAATTGCCAAATTCGTCCCAAATGGTGGTGGGTATTTAAAGTTCGGCCCGGCCGAGCATACATGTTGTTTTAATTTTCCAAAATCTTTCAATTATCAATCAGACAAAAAATTTTTCACTTTCTCTTAATTTAAACTTCAATCTTTATGAACCCAACAGGGATCTCCAATAATGCGGTTTGACAAAAATGAGACACTGATTCTTCTGTGAGCAACTAATAATGGCCTACTCCTATAAATTGGATGGAAAGTGAAGTCTTTTTCAGGCAGAGATCTTTGCTACCATTAATGCTGCAGAATTTATTAAAACTATGCAGGATTATATTTGTGTGGATAGCCAAGCGGTCCTTAAAGCTATTTAATCTTCTACAATCAATTCCGAAGCAGTCCTGCGGTGTAGAACGTCTATGGGAAATCTGCACACTACTCTCCGAATTTGTTGGGTAACTGTTAAATGCAATATTGAAGAAAACAACAGACCTTGAGGTCGCCGACATCTCATAAACCTCCCCTTTACTACTTTACCAGAGCATTAGAACTACTATTCAGGGAGAAAACCAAAGTCAGCTGGCATATCGAACCACTGTGCAAGATATGAAAACAAATTCGACCAGACATCTCTTACTCCACAGCCCTGCTTTTTCAACTCGTGATCTCAGTGCGCTTTCAATCACCGACGTCGTTCTTTTCTATAACTTTTCAAAAAAGCTTCAATGGTGCATGATATGTCTACGATAAGGGTTATATTAAAACAAGTAAAAACACATTAAGTTCGGCCGAGCCGAACCATTGGGCAAGGAAAACATTTTTATTTAGAAGTATCTTAATTCATGTGTGTTCCACTGAGTCAATTATATGGGGGCGATACCAAAAAGGGAACCCATTTACACAACTTTACACTACAAGAACTGTTATCTACTGCAAGTCTTAAATGCCAAATTCGAAAAAAAATTCAAAGATTATCAAGAAACCGAATATCAGTGGGTATAATTATGTGGCGGCTATAGGAAAACATGGACTTAAATATTCAATGTTCTGCCACCGGAGCTAGATCCCATTATGACCAATTTTTACACAAATCCGTGGAAAGATTTGGCAAAAATCATGAAAATATCCAAAATCGGGAGGTACGTTAAAAATGTTCTACCACTGGAACTAGAACCCATTATGATCTACATATACCAAATTTACAAAAAAAATACATTACAAATTGTTCTGCTAAATAATGTGGACTGTATCGTAATTTCAAGAGACAGACGGACATCGTTAAATCGACTTAGAATTTTATGCTGATTATGAATATATATACTTTATGGGGACTGCGACGAATATTTAGGGATGTTACAAACGGAATGACAAAGTTAATATACCCTCCTTTCCAAGGTGAAGGGTATAAAAATATATAAAAAATTGCATCAATGCATGTAGGTGCCAAATACCCAATAAAGTCGATAAACTCCTCTTCATTCTTACCATGTTTTTATTTGAATGCCTCCTTTCTCCAATCCAAATCCCTTATATCCTGCGTCTACATAAAAATCTGAACCGATCTCGATCAAATTTGGCAGAGGTATCTTCGAGCTGTACCTGATGTCCAATATTAAATATCATTGTTGTGGAGTGTATATCTGTATCTGATATCTGGTACCAAATATTGTTCTTGTGGAGTGCATATTACGCATGTGAGGAATTTAAAGACCTAATTGCATGAAACATAAATATGGGAGCTATAGCTATATATGAACCGATTTTCAAATTTGATGTACTTCTAGACTGAATTCGGCCGGATGTGCAAAAATGCAGGTCAATTGGACTGATATATATGCATAATTATTATAAATAATGCACAATTAACCCGAAATCGGTTGAAGATATATATAGGAGTTATATCTAAATTTGAACCGATTTGCACCAGTTTCAATAGGGTTCGTCCTTGGGCTAAACAAATATAGTTTGGAAATTTTCATCTCAATCGGATAATAAATGCGTCCTGCATTTTGTTCACAAGAATACATTGACGAACGGACGGACGGACTGACTTGTATAAATCGATTCTGACATGCATAAATCGACTCATTCTATAAAGATCCTCAGAAGTAACTATGGATTTATCTCGCTTCCTTCTCCACGTAAAAACAAATGCACAAAGACATAATACCCTTACCACTATGTGGGATAGGGTACAAAAACATATGATAATCTGACTTTAAAAGAACAGTTGTTTAATTGTGAGATTATCGATAGCAATCGATTACACTACAAATTTAACAATATATGTAACTGGTTGTTTTGTTCTGTTGCAGAATATTGTCTACATAGATCCAAATTTCCCTGTGACAGCGCCTCCCGATATTTGGGGCTTCAACGATTTTAGTCACAAATTCAAGTTCAAAATTTGGAATATCACCCTACATCCTGTGGCTGAACATTGTCTACGTTTCCCTATAGCCCCCATATAAGTGTTTCTTCGAATATTGGTTATTTTAAAGATGTTAGCCTCAGTTTCTACTGGTTGGCTCGAAATTCGGAGTTTAGAGTTTACAATGTATTCTAACTTCTTTGGCAGAAAATGGTTTATATAGGTCCACGATTTCCTAAAGCCGCTATTAAACAGTATACCAGCCACTGTAGTAGAGAATTGTCGAGGGAGGTCAACATTTTGGTATGATAATTTCACTTCTGGATATTCGCTATTTTCATTTTCTATAGAATTGTTTGCAATTTAGATTGTGTTTTCCAAATGACCAAAGTTACGCATATCCATCGAATATTCGGCATTTACAGATATATTTTTTAATAAGTTACCTTCTAAATTGTGGAGAGTATAAAAAGTTCGGTCCGGCCGAACCTAATTTGGATATATATCATTTAATACGGTCAACACGTGCCAAGTCGAAATAACGGTTTTAGACCCTAGGTCTCTTTGGGCCAAATCCGTTTCAGGACATTTGGAGTCGATCTAGCGATGTCCGTCCGCCTGCCTGGCTGGATGGTGCGCACAATAACTCTCGAAGGGAGTATCCCTTTTGAATCAAACTTGGTACATCGTAATATTATTGTCAAACTTAGATCGAACGATATCGATCCACTTCTTCTGGTACCTTGCCCACAAAATTTCGAAATTTTCAAAGAAAATATTTTACTGCACAGAAAGAGAAAAGTTGATCCGATTTTGCTCCGACTTTGCAAATTCTAAGATTTCCATCAGTGCCAGGTCTGGTGCGAGAATGGACAATATCGGTTCACTCAATCAAGTACCGCCCCCACAAAGGTTCAAAATTTTAAATAACTATAACTCATATGAAATATGATGTAAGAGTCCGATTGTCTCCAAATTACACAGATCACAATATTTTTATTAACCCAAGGTCTGGTATAAAGATGGAATATATCGGTCCACTTCTTCTGGTACCTCCCCCACAAAGGGTCGAAATTTTAAACATCCATGAAACTCATAAAACGCGAAATTAACACCCGACGCGTCCTAAAATTTCACACATCCCAGTATTTCTATTAACACAAACTCTGTTGTGAAGATGGAAGATATCGATCCACTACTCCTTGTTCCTCCTACCCAACGGGTCAAAATTTTGAAAAAATTAGGTGTGAAGATGGGATATATCGGACAACAACTTCTAGTATCTTTTCCACAAGGGGTCGAATTTTTGAATATTTATGACTTTTATAAAATGCGCAATATTTTTACTAACGGAAGATCTGGTGTGAAGATGATATATATCGACCTTCCCCCTTCTGGTAGCTCTCCCACAAAGAATCACAAGTTTCAATATTTATATCTCTCATAGCTTGCGAAACAATTCGCTGGTTCTTTTCAAACTTGATCCATCTAAATATTTTTTAACAAGAGATATGGAATTTAATATGAAATTTATCGGCTCACACATTCTCGTACCTCCCCACAGAAGGTTAAAATCATCATTAACAATTATTCTCAAAAAAAAAAAAAAATTGTAATAGATATCTGATTTTCTTGAAGTTTTGCTTATATTTTTATAAATTCAAAATGATATGGAATAGCTTGGTCCACCGTACTGACACTTTTTAACTTGTTTGTATACTAATTATGCACATTT